GACTTTACAGTAGTGCAAAACTGATGCACGTTCAGTAGAAATTTTATTTCCAGTACTCATACAACCATTCTGTTTTTCACTTACAGTATAGTATTCAATAAATTACATGAAATATTCGACACTTTATTATAAAATAGGCTTTGTGTTAGATGATTTTGCCCACCTACAGGCTAATGTAAGTGTTCTGAGCACGTTAGGTAGGCTAGGCTAAACTACAATGTTCAGTAAGTTAGGTGTGTTAACTGCATTTTCAACTTATGATATTTTCAATTTACAGTGGGTTTATCAGAATGTAACCCCATCATAAGTTGAGGAGCATCTGTTTTTGTTTGTAATGCCAGTAACCAATTTATTTTGAAAGTAATGCTCCTAATTTAAGCAAGAATTAGTCTTAAAATTTTTCTAATGTTGTTTTCAGACTGGCATCTTTTGGATTTTTAAAAGATAAACTTAAAAGATAAAAGTTTTAGAATGTGCCATTTTTCTTCAAGGTAGGATATAATTAAAAATATAATTAGTATCATCTAATACATATCTCAAATGATACACTATTATATACCCCTCCTTTGAGAGTGAATCTGACTTACCACTTTACTAATTGCTTCTCTAGTCTTCATTTTAATCCACTTTGAAGTAGGGCATTACCATGTTGGGGTGGAGATTAAGGGGTCATTACTCCTTGGTAGTATTCTTAAATTGCCAAAGATTAAATATTTTCATGTGGATGCCATCTTGAGTCACAATAATATAGCTTTACTTTCTGATTTTAGGAGTGTAGTCGATTGAATGATGTCCCCCCAAAGCTCCCTGAAGCTTAAGTTGTGTCCCCCAGGTTTTATGTATTAGGAACTTAACCATCACTGTGACTGTTAAAAGGGTGGGAAGTCCTATTATGGTAATTGTAAGGTGGGGCCTTGAGGAAGTGATTGGGTTGTAGGACCATGTGGTAGTGAATGGATTTAAAAGTGGTGGTCAGGGGCATGGATCTGAGGACTTTAAAAGAAGAGGAGAGTCTGTCTTGCTCTCTGCTCTCTCTGCTTCCACTATCTTGCAATGTGAGACCCCTGGGTCACTGCCACCACCATCAGATGGACTTTGGACTTCCCAGCCTCAGAAACTGTAAGCAATAAATGTCGTTTTTCTTTATAATTACCCAGTTCCGTGTATTTTTGTTATAGCAACACAAAATAGACTAATAAAAGGCATATTCATGGAACTTGAAGAATTACTTGTTCTCTAATGGGTCTTTCCAGATCCAACACAGAAAAGGCAAGGAGAAACTAGTAAGATTAAATGATAATTGCATTTATCAAAGGTTTTACCTTAAATGTCTTTGAAGGGAGTTCACTTTTGTATTATTAACTTGAAGAATTTTTGTGCTCTGTCATCATTGGTCTGAGGGGAAAATCTACTTTATAATAAAATTTTATTATTTGCAACATTAATGCAGATACAAACAGCCATCTGTTGAGAGAATTCTGAGTGAGAGCGTCTTGTCACTCTTCTCCAGAACATATTATTTTGCACCTCTTCTGCAAAGGCCAGGAAAATGGCTTTTTTTTTTTTTTTTTATCATCTGTTTTTGTTTTTTTCTCTGTTATTTCTGAAAATGCATTTTTTTTCATGTATATCCTACAGGGAAATTTTAAAAGTGATATTCAGCAACTTCAAACAAATAAAATGGAATACCATATTGGTCTATTTAATAACTGCTTCAAAAGTGCATAGTATTTAACTTTTCTGGGTGGTTTCCCATGAGCTTCAAAGACCATGCAGTGGTTTGCTAGGTCTCGGTGTTAATGGAAACTGAAGTTTGTAAGAATTCCAGGACAAAGGTAAGAGGTAGGTATATCAGTGTGTAAGGTTGGTCAGAAATTGGTGTTAGCTACCTCCCCTGTTAATACAGCAAAGATGACAAAATCACAAGCACATTCCTCCTTGTATAATAGGAAACAGACATACCTTTGTAAAAAAAAAATTTTTTTTAAGTTTGTTAGTTCTTGACACCAATAAATTTTCCATGGTTGCAGTATTACAAGTTACACACAGATTTTTACTCTTGTCATAATCACTACTATATAAAAGAAGAATGTTTGTGGGGAATGCAGTTCTAAGGTTTCCAGTTCTCTAATAGCTTTATTAAAAAGGGATTTCTGACCTTGGGACAAATACTGGCTTTTCCTTCACCTCTCCTCTCTTCTATGGCCCAGCTGTCTTTGTAATAATGTTTGGCTGTTGTCTCAGGTGTCTTCAGTAATGCAAAAGACAATTAAGAGTAGTTGGGGCCAGGTGTGCTCCTTTCTCTATAAATTTAGCATTTCTTCCAAATCTGTCACCATTTGAACTCTGGCAACATAAAATTCCTCAAGTTCACTGAAGTCATTTTGAAGCTTGTCTTTGCTAGAAAGTGAAACTGAGCCTCTATTATTTTTTTCCTCACTAGTAGCAGCAGCAACTCCACTCAGCCAGGTCTCAGGATCTCCTCAAACGCATTCCTCCTGAGAAAATAGGGTGGTTTTCAGGTTCACACATTGACTCAGATTGGTCACTCCTTTTCTCTTTGGAAGGAACACTGGAATCTACAGCGGGGGAGAATTACATTGCAATCTTAATTTTGCTACATACTGAAAACCTTTGGCTCAACTACTTATCTAAACCATTTCTGTTTTCTTTAAAACAAATAAAGCTTTCATTTTGGTTCTTAACCCAGATCCCCTTGGAAAAGCACAGATAGAATCATTAAATTCCAGCAAAACTTTCATGGTGGTGTTAGTTTCTGTGTTATGTGAATATGAAGGTACTTCAAAAAGTTCATGGAAAAATTTGTATTTTCTTCTAATTCTGTTTTTCTGTGAACTTTGAAGTGCCCTTGTACTTCAGACATTTAATGGGTTTTATTTGCATAGTATTCTTACATAATGAGATATTTTCCTTAGTATTTCTTAAATTTCACAGATTCACCTGGAATAAGTCTTATGATGTGACTGTGTACAGACTGCCAGTGTATAAATGTAAAAACAAGTATGAGTAACATTTTCAAAAAAAAAAAAAAAAAAAAAAAAGATATGTCTTATGTTTTTTTTCTTTCGACGAGTTACACCAATCATCCTGGGGAAGAGAATTATAATTGAAAGAAATGACACTATTGTAAGAATTCATTAAATTTTTTTACGTGGTCTTAATTCATACTCGACTGAGTAATTAATTAGGAAGGGCTGATTCTAGATAATCCAATCAAACCAATGAATAGGCATCCGTATACACACAGTAGACATTTAAAGACCCAGAATTTAAACAAGAATATTTGAGGCTTTTTCAAGAAGTATAATGATGTTTTTCTTTACTGGTACTTCTGGCACATCAACTGCCTTGTACTTTTTGTTTTTTCTTAATGCTCAGTGAGTTCAAAACCCAAAAACATTACATACATTTAGGTTCACTTACCAAGTTTATAAACTGAAGTTACAGCCTTTGAATAAGACTTCTTAATACAAAGGTAGACTACTTTCAGCATTGGAAACCTTTGGATATTGAGATCTAAATGAAAAGGAAAAAAAGAAAAGCTCCTATGGTCCCTGGATAAAAGAGCTTATTTATTTATTTATTTATTTTGGTGGCTGGCTGGTATGGTGATCAGAACCCTTATCCTTGGTGTTACCGACACTGCACTCTAAACCATCTTAGCTAACTAGCCAGCCCACTACTTTTAACATACTATTATTGGTTTCACCATTGCCTATGACAAGGTCATACAGAAAGTACTCAATAAATATATCACAGAGCAAAGTCATTTAAAGAATCTCCCAACTCAGATTATCCTAGTACATAGATTGGTTCAAAACTAATTTGGAATACCTACAGAACCTATCAATTTTATAGTCTGGAACAGTACCAAAATGAACAAGAAGTACTATGTTCTTTCTATAGGGTTAAAATATGTACAAGTACACATTTCTTATCACAATTAAGAGTAATAATAGTTTAGAATATAAATATAAATAATGACCTTCAATGAGTTTACTCACTAAGAGATACTGAGAAATACATTTAGTACTTCACAATGTCTACTATATTTAGTCCAAATCGGTGTTAGAGTGACATCTAATCTCTTAAGGTATCTTGAAATATTTACATCCTAAGTCTCTCAAAACCAAGGCAAGTCAGGCTGCTCTCAAGACAAAATCATACCTATGTGAGAAGGGGAAAGAAGTAATTAAAAGTCTACCAGACATAGTCTGTTTTCAACCTGAGAAGGTAATAGTTTGTAAAAGCAATGAAGATTCTCCTGAATATCAATCACTTTCATACCTCCAGCTATTTACTTCATTGGATGCTCACCCCTCCAAGGGGTTGAGTTTTATACAACAGTCAAGGTTTCAGGAAAAACTTGGTTCAAACCAAATCTGTTCTTCTTTAAGTGAAGTGACACTTACAAGAATATGCACACAATCCCCCATCATTCCTCTCTCAAACACCAAAGAAAGAAAAAGAAAAGAATACTGATTATACATAGAAAATATTTTCTTCTATATTTAATGCAGTGAATGTATAATCAACATTACCATTGAACTAAACATCTGAAACTTGATACAGTGAAACAAACAGAAGTTAGTCATTTGTTAATGGTTTTTATCCACTAGATACACCTGAGGTGGTAGACTATCAGGCTTATAGACATCTGTGTAGACATTGTCATTACAGAATATAAATCTCACACAAGGTATAATCGAAAATTTTTTTAAACAAAATATCTCATCAATAAACTTTATGTAGTAACATCAACTTCATGGAGGACATCTGTGTAGACATTGTCATTACAGAATATAAATCTCACACAAGGTATAATCGAAAATTATTTTAAACAAAATATCTCATCAATAAACTTTATGTAGTAACATCAACTTCATGGAGTATTTTAGCAACAAACAGTAATGGTATGCGGATGTAAGCTTGTCATTTTAAACATGGTGCACTAAATAAAGCATATCGAGGTCAAAGCCTTTCATTAGAAAGGGAATTTAATTGACATTCTTTCAAGCATAGTGTATAAAGAGATCAAAATAGTTCTATTATAAGAAATATTATTTAACAACATATTTCTAAAATAAAAATACTTTAAAAATCAGCTTTGATGAGATTAAATTTATTTTTAAAGAATCTTCCTTTACAATGAAATATATGTTTCTTGCTCTTAGCTTTTCTACATTTTTCCAGCATAACCCCTACCTTTACCCTATCCCAGTCTATTATTAATAAAGTAGTACAAAATATTGTCTGAAGAAATCTCAACCAAGTTTAATCCCCTATCAGGCCAGGGAAGTAAGACATTCTCACCAACCAAACTATTTATTTCTCCAGAGGTATTCCCCCTTGATATACCAGGGAGTTAGATACAAAAACTACTGTAAGAGTTCTTGGGAATGTAATTTTTAAGTATAGATTCTACAGTAAGTAGTGAAACATTTTTAAAGTACCCTCCACCCACAAGCAGTATATTTTACAAAACAGATTTTCATGCATTCATATTATCAAGAATGATTTTTCATAAATGAATTTAATGAAACACTGGCATATCACTTAGCACACTGCATTCTCCTCTACATTAAAATTTACGCTAATAACAAAAATCATAATATTCATTAAAGCATTTCAGTAACAATGAGAAAGCAGAGACTTTATTTCTGTGAGAACACTTGAGTATTAAATATTTTTAAATGCACAAAGGTATAATCTGACACCAAAAGCAATATAGATTTAGTTTGCTAGTATTTTTGACAACTGAACCCGGTTGTAATTTTCTAACTCAGTATAAATTAAAGTAGTGATAGGTATAAAAGTTCAGATAGGCAATCATTTATAAACCTGGCAGTATTTACGTTGTATAGTCCTGTAGAGATTTTAAGGTTTTAGATGGAACGATAGAAGGTTTTGAATGTTTTCTTTATAAGATTTCAGAGCGTTGAAGATTCTCTTTAGGGGGTGAATGTACCTTCACTTCTTACCTTAAAATCAGTGTAGTCATTCCTATGTAATTTGCACAGGAGTGAATATCAGGTTCTAAAGTCAGAATCTGTGTTAAATTGAAATGCAGCCATTCCATTATTCAGGCTTTGGGATTCCCTCCCCGTCTCCTTTGAAATGTATAAAACATAGGAAATTGTAATGAATTACTTTTCAGATAAAAAAATAGTCACATTTAAAAAAAACTTTAAAATCAAACTGACATTTACAACTTATGTAGATTTAATCAGAGCACAGATGAGTATTTAATCCAATATTCTGGTTCTTCCACTTGTAATTAGAGAAGTGTGTATCTTCTAATGTTATCATTCTTACGTTTGTTTTTTCAATGTGTTATATTATTACCCACAGTTAACAAGGCTTTCACACAGCAGTAGCTAAACCTTTATCAAGTTGAGTCTGTACAATAGAAGTGTATTTTCAAAGACATATGCCTTTGTACACTATTTACAAATGCTCTCGATCATGATAAAAAGTCAAAATAAATAAAAAGCAGAAAGAAAGGAAATGCTGCTGAGGCTGAAGGCTTTTTCTTTTATCTTCTCAAACAGATGCTCGTCTCCTCAGTGCTGGGAGCTGGCTAGCCAAGATTGTTTTTCTTCTTTTTATATGGGCTATGAGAAGGATCTGGTTTCAGTTCTTGGTATTGCACCTGTTTAAACAGAGTTCAGAGAAAGACTGGTCAGGTGGCCACTTTTTGGCAAAGGACGGAAAAGCAAAGGAATGAGAGACAGTGCTTGGGGGGAAAAATGCTTACTCTAGAAGCTGTATGGGATCTGCAGGTGGGATACAGAAAACAACATGGTGATAGAGCAAGAGTCAGAAGGGAAATCCTGCCAGAAACTACATAGAGCCCTGATGTGAACTTTGGTTATGGGCTGGGGTCTTCACTGTCCATAACACATTACATTAAAAGCAAAACCACCTCGATATATTTTGAAGGGCTGGATAATGGTTCTTTGCAATTTATTGTTTGTTTAATACCATCTCCATCCAGCCCAATTATGTCTCATCAAATGAAAAACTCAACTGAAACAAAGGAAAAAGATATCACAGCAACCCAGTTTCAAGATTTTGATAAAAACCTTTCTTATTTCACGTTGAAAACAGTTGATGGTTAATGGACATTAATCTCAAAGGATTTCAACTGCTTTTTGAGATATGCTCCAGTCTTCAAAAAGCAGTCAGCTTAACCACCCCCCTCAAATCCCCAAACTACACATCTTTAAAACTCAATTTGCGCAAATTTGGGGAAAAAAATGTTTTTCTCTTAAATGCCCACTGACACATTTTGCTTTCATCATCTAATATTCCTATTTCTTCCACTCAGGTCATGGTGACATCCCTTCACAAACTCCAGCTGAGGAGGATTTTCCCTGACAGCTGTGGTAAGTTCTTTATGCAACCTGCTCTCATTTTCCAATTCCCCATTCTTCTCTATGATTTCTTGGATAGCACCTCAAGTGGGCTAAATTCCTGATTGGTAAAATCTGCTACAGGCTATGCCAACTTTACCTGGCTCTTCTAAAACCTTTGAAATTAAAAAGCATGTAAAAGTTAAAACCCAGCACCACACTACAGTAAAATAATAATAATAATAATAATAATAGTAATAATAGTAATGATAATAATAATAATAATGATGATGATGATGATGATGATGGAACCTACATACCACTTGTACATCTGAAGGGACTCTGGAAAGGAAATCAAGTAGTTCATTGTTATCAATTGCATATGGACTCCGAAGCTTTTTTGTAAATTTATTGATGCCTGAAAAAGTAATAGATCAAACACTATCAAAATCTCCAAAGTCTGGAGTTATACAAAGCACATTTCTTGCAAAAGTGTTACAGTAATTTGAAGACCTAGCTTGTATGCTACCCCTCAGCCTTGACTGAATGAACAAATTCACCCATTTCCTCCCTCTTTCACTCCCTCCTATCTTTCTGTTCTTTCTCCCTCTTTCCCAACTGAACTGCTGTTTTTTTTCCCCTTTCTTTTTTGTTTTGTTTTGTTTTGTTTTGTTTCTGTCTTTCTCTTTGCTCTTTAATAGCTCCTTCTCAGCAGGAAAGGCATTTTATTCGGGAAACAAAAGGGGGTACCTAGCAGGAATGAACAATATCTTGCTTTTTTTCTCCCCAGTGCTACAGTACTTAGAAGCCTTGCTTTAGTGTTTCATCTATGGTGAAACTTGTCCTCCTACATTCTGGATTGAGATTGCTAATGCAAGAAGTCTAATTTATTGGTTTCTTCTTTTTCAAAAGATACACTTTTTGGTGGTAGAGAGGTTGGGGGCTGTTGCTGTTACGCAAGCTAAATGTTTAGAAGATATGTGACCTTGGTTTTTTTTCAAACATGAAATGAAAGAGGGATTGCCACAGCTTTTTGAAAAAATAAACAGCTTTACATGAAAACAAAACAAAACAAAAAAACACTGGTATAAAGTGAGCCATAAACTAGAGCATTTGGTTCTTGGGAAGTTCATGCAGAATGAACTTCTTCTGGAATCTTGATTTTGGTCTCTCTCTCCCCATATAAGACCTGTGTCTTAAATTTCCGGCTAATATTTCATCAATCACCTATCACTAAAGGAATACTGTTCTTGTTTTATTTCATTTGATGAAACAAGAGGCCAAAACACATTCTCTAAAATTAATTTAAGACAGCCAGCCAGTGAGGCCATCACAGGTTACATAGCCAGATGTCTACCATGGGCTTCAGTTTCTGAGAACCTGGGGAAGCAAAACTGGGGGTTTGTTACCTATGGGAGCAGAGATGACTCTGCAAGCCCAAGGTGGGTCTGACCCTAGACAGGTTAGTGTTAATAAGCTGCCACACGTGACACTCTACCCAAATTCCTCCAATAAAACAGCAACTGCTTTAAATATTAGAAGAAAGAATGAAAGATGAGGGCTTGAACATACAGTAGGAAGCAAGAACATGGTGGAAATACCTCTTCCCTTGGGTAGTGAAAGTGCTGTCCTAATTGAATTTCTTTGAATTGTAGAAAGTAGGAAACAAAAAAATAATCACCATTTCTCCCACCTCCCACCCAAGGTGTAAAGATAATCATAGTGTTGATGAGGGGTAATAGGGCTTGCTCAAGATATGACAAGATGAGCCAAAAAGAATAGAGAAATAGGAATGTTAAAACTGGAGGGCTTGGAGACGTCAAACCTCAACTTACTTTATTCCAATGTATTTCATTAAAAGTCTTGAACAAAAAACTCCCTTTGATATTTTTGCTTTCAATGTAAGCATGTTTTCTGAGGTTAAGACCACATTTTGGTTCTTTGCATTTTGTGTGGATTTAGCAATCTTTGGTGTGTGTGTGTGGAAGTACAGGGCAAGTAGAGAGTTCTACTTCTTCCCAGTCTTGCCTATATATATCCTTGTCATAGTTTTTATGTTAGTAGATCTTACAGACTGAAAATTGAGTTTTCCAAACAAGAATTTTGTCAGGAAGGGGGGAAAACAACATCAAACTATGAATAATGCTGAAACTGACTACCTCCTAAATGGAATCTAAGTATGTGATAACTTTGGCAAGCAGCATAATTGCATTAAAAATTAGGACCAATAGGGCCTGCCCGTGGCTCACTCGGGAGAGTGTGGTGCTGATAACACCAAGGCCCCGGGTTCGGATCCCATATAGGGATGGCTGGTTCGCTCACTGGCTGAGCGTGGTGCTGACAACACCAAGTCAAGGGTTAAGATCCCCTTACCAGTCATCTTTAAAAAAAAAAAAAAGAAAAAAAAAATTAGGACCAATAAAAATCACCTTTAAAGTAGGTTTTTTGCAGAAGCATTCTTGTTTAGTACACACAAAGCAAACTTTTGTTGTTGTTCCTAAGAAGTATTTTTCCGAGTCCTAGAGGTGACCACTTAAATATGTGGCCATGTATAGTACCATGTTTACATATACTTCCACAAGATAAAGTAACAAAGGAAAAAAGCACATTGTCCTAAATGCACCATATGGATCAAAATGCCTCTGTTTGCCTATAAGTCGTGAAAATAAATCAGAGCAATATCTAGACAAAGCTACACTTTGATATATGAAGAATCTTCACAACAACATGTTTATAGTATGATAGAGCCTATGGTGCCAGATAAGAAAAATGCATTTTGCAGGTAGAACTAAATCTTTATACTGTTGTGATTTTTAACTGACCTGTCTCTTTTCATCATGGAGTAGCTTTATGACCATAAATATAGGGAACTACTGACAGTATAACTCATCCCTTAAAAATAGTTTGTTCTTAGCAGCTAAGACAGTTTAGAAAAAAAAAAAATAGTTTTACTTACCCCAGACAAGGACAATGTATCTCAGTGGAATGAAGTACAGGATGACTGTGAACATACAGAGGGCTACAATGGCCAGCCAGCTTAAGAATGGGACAGTCCAGTTGAAAGTACTGAATGAAAAATTAACACATCAGCAATCTGAACACTTCTCACCTTTTTCAAACAAAGATTAAAATAAATGGGATTCTGACTAACTTGGGACCTAGTTAGTTTGCATTTCTCTCTCTGGAGTAGAAGTTAATTGTAGCAGGCTATCAGAGGACACAGATTATTCATAATTTGCTCAATTCTATAAACACAGGGCCCAGGTAAAGGGTCTTGCTACCAACCCCACCAGATTATTCCAGGTGACTTGATTTTAAAGCCGTTGCATTCCTTGGGTGACTCCCCGCATGGTGAAAAGATCTTTTCTTTGCTACCGTTAAACTAGTACAGCCTGTTTTCTCCAAAATCTCATAGAGGGGAAGACCCCTGGGCCTACCATTCTCTCTTTCTACCATTCATTCTCCACATGGGGAATAAAATGTTGCCAGCAATTGTCTATAGACTAAATTTATAAGTAAGTCCTCTGAATTTTAGAATTCTTTAGGGGAATACTCACTTTCCTACTTCAGCTATGTTTCAAATGGAACTGGAAATCAGGTTAGCAGTTAGCCTTGTAAAAAATTCACCTGCCTTCATTGCCCTTCTTCCCAGAAATACATAGGTAATTGAGAAATACAGCCAGTATTGCTTACTATTCTTCCTGTGACTTCCGGCAAAGGAGAGCATGGCATGTAGTAGATTTGTTGGCTAGACTGAAAAGGGAGTGCAAATGGAAAAGTGTGCATTGCAGCAGGGCAGGGCTGCGATACTGCTGGTGGTTGATGGTGTGGAGGGCTGGAGCACAGAAGGCTACAAGACTGAGTACTGACAGCAAGACGACATGGTAACAAAGAACAGAAACAGGACCGGTGAACAGAAGTAGAGGAAGTTACAAAAAAAGATAGCACTAAGGAGATGGGAAGGAATTAGTGGGACAAAAAGGGGACTAAGAAGGCAAAAAAGACAGTGTAGAAAATCAGGGAACTGGAACATGGATTGTAATCATTTCAGGCTTTTTATGTCGAAGTTCTGTGGGGAATCTTTAAGAGAGAGTGACAAAATTACAAAGAAAATAGGAACATTGTGTGGAGCTGCCAGGGTTGGGTACCTAAATATTTCAACTTTCACAGGCATACCATTGCATTCTTTGAATTCTCTCCTCAGTGTTCATCTACCAAATAGGATCTATTTAAGCCGACTTACTCTTTAACATGGTTCAGTGAAAAGAGCCAAGAAGCTAGCAGATCTGTGTTCAAATCCTAGATTCTGTTAGACTGTAGATGAATCAAATTCTCTAACCCTGAGTTTCCTCCTTTATAAATAACACGAGGATCGCTTTTATTTTATCAAGGAAGATTAGATGTGGTATAACATGTTTATGTGAATCAGGTGATATTATTAGAGCTAATCAACTCCAGCAGTCTGAAGTATGGATTTCTTTTCATAAGGCAGTAAGAAGGGCCCAAAAGACACTTTAGAAAAATATGAAATTGTATGTGATGTGGATAATGTTAATGTTTTTTATTTTTTCTCATTTCCTGGTAATTTGTATTGTACTCATTTGGGGTGGAGTTTGTCCAGGGCAATTTTAATTCAATAAAGGATGATTGCTAAGCGATTTTCTTCCTATGCTGGGCCTCAGCATAACATTTAGGAATTGTTCCTTAGCTTCATGGTATATAGCCTGCTTTTTGTGTCTCTCTAGGTCAACTGTTTCCTAAAGTTGTTTTTTCTAGTAAAAGAGCCAAAGTTGGATCAAGCTGGTTGTGCTGCTTTCAGTAACCTTTGGGGCTGGCTTTACCATCTTTTGTCTTTTTTTCTCTTGTGGTCAGAGTGAGCATCCTGTAACTGTCACCAGGTAAAGGATCATGCCAGATCTGTGCTTCTTTTGCTTCTGCCTGCTTGTGGAGAGAACAGAAGGCCGAGGGTCTGCTTGCTTTCCTGTGGCTCAGCTTAGAGCCATCCATCACACTACTGCATATGTGAGGGCACTGGCTCTTCACTCCGAAAACTTTCCTTCTGCACAGCCCCACTGAAGGACTGCCTGTGTTCTCCCTACTTCTTTTGGAAGGATAAACAGCAAAAAATCTTCACCAGTGCAGCTAATGTTAGAAAAAAAGACTGCCCTTTCTATTTCCACTCTCTGCATTATGGAATCTAAATCTAGAATAAGATCTTCCTCAAAAAAAGAGATGCAATTGGAATGATTATTTAGTAACAAATAGTAACAAGTGAAAATTTAGTAACAAATGAAATGATAATTCAGTAACAAAATATGGTAATAATAGAAATAGGTATTAATAGAAATAGGTAGTAATTTCATTTTGTGCTTAAAGATTACTTCTGGGAACCGGTCTCCACATGGGATCCGAACCCTCGGCAGGAGCGCCGCCGCGCTCCCAAGCGGCACACTCTCCAGCGTGCCACTGGGCCGGCCCTGGATAGATGCTTTTAATCCCATGTGACCCCAAGAGACTTTCTCTTTTTTAGCATCCAAAAGATTGTTGTGCAGAAGAGATGGCTCCTATAAGACTCACTGGATCCTATAACTTATTCCTATATCTCAGTATGGAAAGTTCTACAAAACCAGCTTTCCCAAGGCTAGTCCACTGCCAGGATTTGGTCACAGCCTTCAGTTAGCCATCATGTTTTCCAGCCATGCACCTGTTCTGAGGCCTCCTACCTCCAACGGTTAGCATTCACTAACCAGACCTCAGAGCTGACCCAGGGTCTTCTGGTATAAATGAAGACGTTTCCTTCCGGTATCAGCACACAATGTACCACAAAGAAAGGACAACACTCAGTAGGGGAAATGCCCCAAATTTAGGGCTTCATACTGTGCTTCAGTGGGTAGGGTGTTGAAGGGAACATTCTTAGAGATGAAAATAACACAGAGAGGAAGAAGAGAGGGAAAAGATGTAGGAATCAGTCTTCAGAAGTCTGAGACTGGGGCCAGCCCGGTGGCACGCACTGGAGAGTGCGCCACTTGGGAGTGTAGTGGCGCTCCCGCCGAGGGTTCGGATCCCATGTGGAGACCGGTTCCAGCTCACTGGCTGAGCGCGGTGCGGGCGCAACACCGAGGGTTGCGATCCCGTTGCTGGTCCCGAGTATGGGTGCGACATCGAGGGTTGCGATCCCGTTGCTGGTCCCGAGTATGGGTGCGACATCGAGGGTTGCGATCCCGTTGCTGGTCCCGAGTATGGGTGCGACATCGAGGGTTGCGATCCCGTTGCTGGTCCCGAGTATGGGTGCGACATCGAGGGTTGCGATCCCGTTGCTGGTCCCGAGTATGGGTGCGACATCGAGGGTTGCGATCCCGTTGCTGGTCCCGAGTATGGGTGCGACATCGAGGGTTGCGATCCCGTTGCTGGTCCCGAGTATGGGTGCGACATCGAGGGTTGCGATCCCGTTGCTGGTCCCGAGTATGGGTGCGACATCGAGGGTTGCGATCCCATTACCGGTCAGTAAAAAAGACAAAAAAGAAAAAAAAAAAAAAGAAGTCTGAGACTGAATGTTGCTTAGAGGCATATTTTGGAGTGACAAGGAGGCTGTTCTGTCTACTATAATGTAAGAAGTGGAAACTCAGCACCTGTGCATATGTGGAAATGTATTAAACAAAAAATTATACAAAATAAAATGCATTATCTCTTGCAACATTAAAAGCACTGGATGATGACTCACACCTTTAGATTAAATAATTTCCTCCTTTCAAATTCTGCATATGCCCAAGGATTCAAATCTGCAGAACACTTTTGGTTATGAATAATAAACAATGAATTGATATATGAAACTAGGAAAATAAAGGCTTATTCAGATATAGAACACCCCAGATATACAGACCATCAGGAATAATTATGTAGGCCAATTTTCACATAGTTTAGTAGTATGGGGCTTTGGTATATTTTTAACTGATAATCAATTATTGTAAATCTACCTTATTTTTATAAATAAGCAATTGTATTTAAAAGTATGTTAGTAAATAGTTATTTTATATAAAACACACTAATATTAAGAATTTAAGTTTATTACATGATATCTCAATGAAACTGTATTTCCTTAGTTTAAAAAACTAAGGAAAGGATTAATTTTTTAAGTAAAGGAGTCTGTATTATTTAATTATAAAAATTCTGTGTGTTTTCTAAATGACAAAGCATTGGTTTATTTCATTGATAATTATGATACCAGCTATTTAAATACACAAATATGAAAGAATTTAAGAATATTTTTGCATTTTAAGAGTATTATGCGATACATAATACAATTTTTTAGTCTTTAGAGTAACTTGATAAAAATATAACTAGACCAATAATAAAATGCAGGTGTGTCTTGATTACCTGAAATCCTCATTTAGCTTGGTTTATTCTTTTTCTATCATGATTTCATATTTCATTTATGAACAAAGTCTTTCACTGTGAAAAATGTGCTAAAATTTAGGACGGTGTTATTTCTTCAAAGCTACAAGTATGACTTCTTTCCAACCAATATGTTCTAAATTTCAGGAAGGAAATTGATAGAACTTTCAGAAAACCAAAGACTGGCAGAAACAAAGTAAATAATGATGAAACTGAGCAATAGATCACCCAGAAGGAGTGCCCTCTGACAAAAACAATGTGGCATTTCAACCTCCGAGAAACAAATGGACACCCCGTCCCACAGAAGGCCAGGGTTCACGTGTCAGCATCACTCACTTCTTTATCCTTTCGCCAAAGGAAGCCACTTCATCTAGGATGTTCTGGACACTGACACATACCTCCTGGATGGCATAGATTTTATTTATAAATCCCTTTTTTTCACTGTCCTAAAACAAAATAAAAGAAATTCTGCATGAGTGAAGGTATTCCTCAGTGCTTGAATGCTTTGGGTTGTCCCACTCTTGCATTTTTAAACTTAAATAAAATTCATCCCTGTGTATATAAATGGATAATTGGAGCCCATGAAAATTCAGGATATTAAGGGATATGAGGAGGAAGCATTATGGACCTGTGCTACTACATAGGTGGTTATAAAGCAGAAGAATCAGGTTCTATAGCTTTTGCCCTGATGAACAAAAACAATTAAGGGACTAGGGAGATAAGAGAGAGGGCAGGTCTCAGAATTACCAAACCTGGATTCTGCACTGACTGTGGACCCTCCATGGCCCTCTAGTTAATAGACCCGGTTTCTTGATCCCATCACCCATTACCTAAGTTTGGCTATGGTTCCAGATATTTCAGCATCAGAGAATGCTGGGTGCAAATGAGATAACCTGTGAGCATTGAAAACTGCAAACAATGACAAAGTCAACTGAAATCCATTAAGTGGACGCTTTCTAGATCAGATGCACACTAAGCCTGACCTCCGTCTTAAAAATAATAGTCTTATTATTTATTTTATATAGTAGCATATACTACATTAGGGTTCTAACTAAACATTTTTCCCATATTTGTATGTACTTCATTTTAAAACTTGTGTTGAATTTAAGCAAAGCTGATGTTCCAGGTAATGGGTGGGTGGGATTGAGCATAAAGCACCTGGAGAATGGTGTAAGCCTGGGGGAAATGTGCATTTTAGACCCAGAGAGAGAAACAGTGGTGGCCTTTCACGACTGAAAATTCACTTAGTAGCCTGGCATCATAGGCACTTGCCTAGGCTGTTTGGTGGAGACCATCCAAGCCTGATTCCATGACTCCATCCCTTCATGCCAGCTTGAATATCTATGGAAATGTAGATCCAATTTCATTACTTTAACTTCTTTTGAACACTTGCGCACTATGCCAGAACACTTGAGACCTCATGTGGCAGTCAGTGCTTGCTGAAAGCAGCCAGGAAGCTAGAATAATGTCATGTTGCACATTTACATACTGACTTTTATTTCAGAAGAGTTTAAAGCACTTTACACTGTGAACACTTGGCCAGGGCTGGCATATACCTCCTGGATGGCATATACCTCCTCACCTGAGAAACCAAGGGCAAGTGAATGACAGGAGTGCATGCATCCTCCAAGGACAGGAGGGTGTACTGGGACCAAGGACATGGAGTCCAGTTTTATAACTTGATCTTTAGTATAGGCACCAGTTACTTAGAGCCTTCACTTAAAATTTAATTCCCATGGGAGAAACTGTCTACATTATTCATCTTGCTTACACCAAAACAGGTTGTCAAACAATGGCGTAGAAGAGACACATAAAGCTAAGTAACAGAGTAGGAAACAATAAGCTATCCTTGGGGTCCCCACTGTCTTCAAAAGTCACCCTTCACTTGCCATGAAGGGTACAACCACTTCTTATCTTTTCTCCACTTACAGTAATAAGATGCATTAATTTCACCTATGCAATTGTACATTTTATAATAAAATGAATAACAAATGGCTCCTTCCAGTTCCTTTCATAACTACAAAGTTGGTCTGTCCTAACAATCTACATGGCCCTTAGTATTCTCAATTCCCAAGCATCGGCCAAGTTCATTTATATCTATGAAGCAAAGTGCTCTTAAAAATGTTTTTCCAGGGAAAATTACTCTCTTGTGGTGCCCCCCATGCTTTGCTTTCCCCTAGCATGTTAAATAATAAAATTTTCTATGCCTTTTCTTCCTATTGATCTAAATTTATTAGTGATTTTTATTAATGAACCTTTAGGGGTGATGTTTTCCTTTGGCCCCTTCAGTTATGGCTCTGTGAGCAGGATACCAAAAGCCACCCTGCCCTTCTGGAGATGTAGATAGAAAAGATCAGAGCCTGAAAGCCAGCAGAAAAGAGTACCTTTCAAGAATCTCCTGGACCAAACTGGAGAAGAAATTAATAAAGCTCTAAACAGAAAAATGGGTTAGGAGAATACTTTAGAACAATCAGCATGGAGCTGAAGACTTGCTACAAGACACATAATGTCCAGACTTTGAGAAACCAAGGAAGACGTCAACAAAGCTATGCTGGTTCCATCTTGAATCAGGACCCTAAGATAACATCAAGGATGGGAGCAGAAAACAGAGGTGGCCTTGGGGAGACCTTACACCTGGCTCCTTGCCTGGAGCCCCCACAGGTCACACACCCCTCCCTCCTGCTTTTCCTTTCCCACTTTCTACTCCCTCAACCCCTCTTTACAAACCCCTGAGTAAATCTGAGTCTTTGAGATGGCTTTAGTCTGGCCACTCTCCTTCAGGTTTACCAAAAGAGATGGGTGAGCCTAACGTCTCTCTTCAGGTCATCTGTATTCCTCAATAAAAGCTGACTTCCATTTTCAGCCCCCATCCCCCAAAATATATATTATTATTATTTATATAATATTTATTATTACATATATATATAATTTTTTCCACATACAGAATAAATCAAAACTGTAGATGAACCAGGTTGTACAATGAAGTCCATTGAGATTAAATAATGTCTTTCCAGTTCAAAATTATGAGGAAACAGTTCTTTTACAATAACAATAAAATATATAAAATACTTAAGCATAACCTTAACAAGAAACGTGCAAAATCTACATGAAGAAAATAGAGATACCATGTTTCTATTATGCAATACTGAATACTAAAATAATTTTTGTTTCACTTGAATGTATAGGCTTAATGCAATTTCAACCAAATCCTAATGTTTGGAGTGGAGTAAAATGGGGAGAATTTGACCAAGTGTTTCTAAAATTTGTTTGGAAGAATAAATAGGTAACTACAGCCAAGACATTTGTGTAAAGAGAAACAATGAGAAGGCATTTAGGCCAGATATTTAAGTAATTAAAATGAGATATCGGCATTGAAAGAGAGATTGATATATGATAAGACACTATCATAAAGAAGAAAGTATGTTACTGGCAATTGTGTTAAATATTTGGGGAAAATTACATTAAGCCCTACCTTAAATAGGCTCTCAAATATATTTGAGGTAGCCCAAATCTACCTCAATATCTGCCTCAAATAGATATCTGCAAATACATTCCAGGTTAATATTTAAAAAGCTAAAAGCTAAAAATGAATTATAAAAAAGCAAGACTATATAGCTATTTACTGACATTAGAATAGGAAAGAACTTTCTAAACGTACAAGCAGTAGAAGAAATCACAAAGGAAAATAATTTATAGCAATGGTTACATAAAATCAAAAACATTAAAAACATGTCAAAGGTCATCATAAATTTAAAAGTCTTAAATGGAAAAAGCTTTGCAACAAATATGATGAATGATGGGATGATATTTTTAATGTATTCAATAAACATTTGGAATTTTTATTGCTGTTTTGTTTATGATAACAAAAAGAAAAACCATTAACATGTTGAGTGGGATTAGTTATGGCACATATAATTAATTGATAGACTATTAATTGATGAAATCAGAAAATATTTAGAATACTTAATGACAACAAAAATGCTCATGATCTAATAGAAATTGAAAAAAAAGTAAGAAGTAAATGTGATATATAGTATAATCCTAACTTATTTTAAAATGGCTATGTTGGGAAAGAAGATGAAGGGAATGTATCAAATAGATAATGGAAGATAATTGTACTTCCTATAATATTCAAATTTTTTGCAATTAATGTTTTACTTTTATAATCAGAATATTTCCCTGATTTTCTCCAATATTATTAAAGGAAGATGGGTATAAGTAGTAAATGAATTGGTACTTATTGAGCACGACCTTACTGTGGTTTAAATTTCTGTAATGTATTTTTTGTATTTTTATAAGCTATCTTATGAAATTATTATTTCTGGAATCATTATATTTGGAAAGAATATAAACAGACTCTCATTAAACACTGTAAAGTACTTTTCACTTAGCCCATTCAATCCTTACAACCATCCTACAATGTAGTTATATTTCTCTATTCTATGGAAGAGGAAACAGGCTCAGGGAAAAGTGACAGAGCTTGGATTGGGACATGACTGGCCAACTCCAGATTCTGTATTCTCCATAATACAGCCAGTGAACTTGCTATTCTATCCAGGAAGATTTCAATTTCCACCCAGAATCCCTGTGAGATAAACAAGGAGAAAAGATTTGGAAGTGTTTAGGAACTTGTATTGTAGACATCGTGATCTAGCCTTGAGGCTCATCACGCAGCTAAAATCTTCAGCAAGAAAATGAAATCTAGACACTTGATTCAAAGATAGAAAATGAAAGATGTGTTAGAAACCACCAGATTGAACGTCAACAATGTGGTGAGCAAATATTAAACATGGGACCTTCTTTAACAGGATGTATCATTTAAGTCATCTGCAAAGACAATTTTTAGTAGATACTTTAAAATCCAAGTGCTGTATCATTATTTACTAAGAATTTTAAAAAATCTGCTCACTCTTAATTTTCTTTGTTTCTCCTGCACTTGCAGCACACCTCCATTCCTTTACCCCTGGCCACCAAAAGACAAAATAAAATGGTCTGTCTGTAATGTGGGCAAAGTTTTGAAAAGCAAATGCTTTGGGATAAAATTTTTATTTTAAAATCTCTTTCATCAAATTCTATAGTCCTTCACTGTGGTCTCCAACCAATGAAGTAATTACTCTTTATATACAGTATATGACCCAAAACTGCAATGGGTAATGGAATTGCTCTGTGTTGCATTCCAATATTTCATACTTTTTTCACTAATGTTCAATACTTTATTAGTAGAGAATAAATTGGTACATTTCTTTTATTGTCGTTTTTGCTTTCCTTTATAAACCAGCTTGGATGAAGGAAATATCATAGGGTAGTTAATCATCCAAAGGCTTGGTACTGACACTGGTTTTTTTTTTTTTTAAAATGCATTATTAAGGTTTCTTTTGAAGATGTAAGGAAATATCATAGGGTAGTTAATCATCCAAAGGCTTGGTACTGACACTGGTTTTTTTTT